CACAGCCCCACGTACACGGAGGCAAGAAGCCATTCAATTGCTTTGTGTGTGGGAAGTCATTTTCATGGCCATCACATCTTCAGAGACACACACACGGGCGAGAAGCCATTCCTGTGCCTTGTGTGTGGGAAGGCATTTGCACAGTCATCACATCTTCAGAGTCATCAGAGAACACACACGGGCGAGAAGCCATTCCTGTGCCCTGTGTGTGGGAAGACATTTGCAGACTCATCAACTCTTCAAACTCATCAGAGAACACACACGGGCGAGAAGCCATTCCTGTGCTCTGTGTGTGGGAAGAAATGTGCACACTCATCAACCAGGAACAGGCATCAGAAGGTCCACAATGATAGGAAACTGAAATCAAAAGCTGAAATTCAAGGTGCTGCAATGAGTCCTGAAGAAGTTTCCACCTTCGATCCCATGCAGTTGGATCCCGAGAGATGGCTGGATGTAATGGAGTGGCTCGAGAGACAACCAGAGAGCTCGGGGTGACTGAAAAAAATATTATGTCATGTGGTTATACCTATTCAGCCGTATCGAGTACTTTTGTGTGTAATTTTGACCATTTTAGTTTTACAGTTTTTGTGAGTTTAATGACGTGCCCAGTGGTGGTTTGTAATGTTATCGGATTACTTGCCGAAGTGGTGTGATGAGCACTGGTTGTGAGAGGGTTCAATTGTAGTCGTTATGTGTTCCTGTTGAGCTAAAGTTGAAATGCGTCTGTAGGTACATCTTTACTCAACATTTTAAACGTTTTAGTTTTCAAGTATATAGCTTTTTTTATTGGTGTTAATCGACTTTAGATAGCCGATTTCAGGATGTACATTGATGACGCGTTCGTTGTATATATGGCCTTGACTTCAACATAGACGCACAGTGAACACATGTCGTGAACTAATAAGGAAATCATGGGGAATGATCCTTTAACGCTTTGGTATTCCTGGAACGGATATGGTTTACATTGTATTGTAACTGTTTGAACATAGGACATAATACATTCGGTTCGAGTTTTGACTTAAAATGATTGCAGATGAATAAAAACAATTTTTTTAAACAAATGTGTGTCCGTTTATGTATTCATATCAACAACGTGTTTTAAGCGAGTTTCAGGTGGAGGATTTTCGTCACACAAATCTGCCCTTAACCGGCAGCATCTTGGCTGTCTCCCCATTAACATGTGTTCCTGGAGGGGAAAGGGCCCCATTATTTATCGATTCACAACGTTACGGTCCCTAATCATCAAGTACACAGGGAATCCTGTACGCTATGACACGTGAACTGTAACACTATAAACGATAACACGAAACATTAAATACTATGAACTAGTTTAATCATTTATAACACCAAAAACAGAGGTACGGTATCATAATCTCATTACAAGCAGTAGAATTTCAACGTGATCGTATTAAAATCACATTCTGCGCATATGTATGTATAGCGTACGTGCAAGCGAACTGTGCTCGTATGCATGTAATATGCATCTATGGCCTTTGGACATGCGAACCGGGGGTCGGATATGCGAACTGGGGCGTGCAGGATTAGGAATCTGATGCAAATTATTAGAATAACACTATATAAACATAATGCACAGAATCGGTAAGGCTGCCTTGTTGGGGAGATGTAGTTTGGGTAAGGTGCTGTCACTGGAGTTAGGCGATGTGACTGGGTTATCACGCGGATTCCGAAAAGCAGCTTAGACAATACGATCCACTGCGCTCCATCTCCCCACATGAACGACGACATTCTCAGTTTAAAAGATAATGAATAGAAATGTTAAAATACGTTTTTAAATCATGTGTATTGTATATTTGTTATAATGTGTGATTGTTATACTCTTTAAACGTGTGTATATACTGTGAATAGCTATTAAAATCCATTACCACACAGAAGCAACTGCAACAGCAGCAGCAGCAACTGCAGCAGCAGCAACTGCAGCAGCAGCAACTGCAGCAGCAGCAACTGCAGCAGCAGCAACTGCAGCAGCAGCAACTGCAGCAACACAAGTCTGACCTTAACCGGCAACGTCTTGGCTGTCTCCACCATCAACATGTGTTCCTAGAGGGGAAAGGTCCCCGTTATAAATAGTTTAGCAACGTTCCTTTCGCTAATTCCGAAGTATACTGGAGATCACTTGTACTCTAAAACATGTAAACTGTAACGCTTTAAAGATAACATTAAACATTAAACGAATATAAACTAGTTTTTATATTATTTATAAGACCGTATACGGAGGGACAGTATTATAATATCTATACTCTTTGGTTCTTTCGGTAAAGTCACGTAGGTATAAATAAAACAAAATAAATAACGACGTTTCGGACGCAACACAAGCGCCCGAAACGATGTCTGCAGCAGACATCGTGCTGCTCGCAGCAGACATCGCGGATATCGCGATTTTCACCTGAAGACGTGCGATTGTGTTTCGTCCGAAACGTGATTTACCTTGTTTCATTTCTACCTACGTGACTTTACCGAAAGAACCAACGAGTATTAATTCCTGCAGTCACGAAAGCTTCAAATCAATATTAGAATATCATTATAAGTATTATAATTACAATGTGATCGTAATAGAATCACACTGCACATATGTATGCATATTACATACATACTATGGTCGTATGTATGTATGTAATATGTATGTCCGTTGGACATGCGAACCGGGGGTCGGATATGCGAACTGGTGGATTAGGATCGGATTAGAATGATGAGAATTACACTCTGGTCGTATTATAATTACACTGAGCTAGAATGTATGTTATATGTATATGCATATCGCGAGTCGTAAATGCAAAATGGGAGGTGCGCAGTTTTGATCGCAGTTAAATTGTTATAATAACAACGTGGTCCTATTAGAATCACGCTATCGACTGCTGCTGATGTTCGGGTGGCGGCCTCCGATTCGGGATCAGCTCTTCCTTTACTCGCCTGGTTGGTTACATTCATGCATATTACATACAGACATGTTACAAACTCACGAGCATAGTGTGATTCTTAGAGGACCACGGTGTGAAGCTAAGAATTCGAATGAGATTTAAATATCACACTTCAATGTACGGTGTTCTAATCTGTAACACTAGTTTATGATGTTATTTTATAGCGTTATAATGTATCGCTCATAGCTTATATTGTTAGAGTTCACAACATTATGGTTTACTATAACACTAGTTTGTAGTGTTATTTTAAAGCGTTACAATGTATAGCTCATAGTTTAAAGGTTATATTGTTAGAGTTTATAATGTTAGAGTATGCTCTTTACAATTTGAAAGTTTGTGAACGTGCCCTATTCTCGTGGGACCCGACACGAATTTGGAAATAATTGCTATGATCATGTCTGAGCTGGGATGAGCGACTAATGTTTACTTTGTTTAATCATAGCTGTGTGTAGGTTAGTGCCATCGGTGCTTAGTGAATACTACTCATGAATGAACTCATACTTCTTTCGGATATAAATTGAAATCATGTTGGTAGAACAAGTCGCCTGCCTTTTCTAGACGAATTGTTATCTTCAAGTGTGTCCGTAAATAAACTGCTAATATACACAGCATAGGGAAGGCTGTTTTGTTGGGGAGATGTAGTTTGGGTAAGGCGCTGTGGCCGGGTGATGACACGGATTCTGAAACAATGGAGTTAAACACTCGCTGCTTGGCCCCGTCGACAGCAGCGAAGGCTGTCATTGACGAGTTGGCTGTACAATGTGTATAGTTGAAGGTGCTAGGTGTTGTCTTCTTCTAACAGCTACTAACGTGCGTGTGTTGTCTGTTTTTAGGATTTGCCCATTGATGTAGTTATTTTTATTGCGGCGTTTTTTTGTTGAGTTCTGTCACTTGAGTGTTGCAGTTTGTTTAAGAATGCGTCACGTGAGCGTGGTGTTTTGCTTGTGGGAATTTCGCTTTGTCACAAATTGCGATTGTTATAATAATTGTAACGATTCATAATCTCATTAGTTAAGAATGGGTTTGTGCGTGATTCTTATACGATCACACTGTGATTCTAATGCTTCTAATGATATTATAATACCTTACCTCCGTTTAAATGGTTATAAATTAAAACACTAGTTTATAATTGTTTAATGTTTAGTGTTATAGTTTTTAGTATTACAGTTTACATTTTATAGAGTACAATTTATCCCCGACATACTTAGGGATTAGGGACTGGTACGTTGATGAAGGATTAACTACGGGGACCTTTCCCCTCAAGGAACACGTGTTAATCGGGTAGACAGCCAAGATGCTGCCGGTTAAGGGCACACTTGTGTGACGGAGATCCTCCACCTGAAATTCTCTCATATTTTTGCTAGGAACATTATAAAATAAAGACCGGACAAACATTTGTTAAAAATACTTTTTATTAATCTGCAATCATTTTTATGTCAAAACTCGAAGGAAATATGTATTATGTCCTATGTTCACACATTTCCAGTAGGATGCAAACCATTTCCGTTCCAGGAATACCAAAGCATTTCCTTATTAGTTCACCACATTTGTTAACTGTGCGTCTATGTTGAAGTCAAGGCCATATATCCAACGAACGCGTCATCAATGTACATCCTGAAATCGGCCATCTAAAGTCGATGTTTTTATACTTGAAAACTGAAACGTTTAAAATGTTGAGTAAAGATGTACCTACAGACGCATTCCAACTTCAGCTCAACAGGAACACTTAACGACTACAATTGAACAGTCTCACAACCAGTGCTCATCACACCACTTCGGCAAGTAATCCGATAACATTACAAACCACCACTGTGCACGCCAATAAACTCTCACAAAAACTGTAAAACTAAAATGGTCAAAATTACACACAAAAGTTATCGATACGGCTTAATAGATATAACCACATGACGTAATTTTTTTCAGTCACCCCGAGCTCTCTGGTTGACTGTCGAGCCACTCCATTACATCCAGCCATCTCTCGGGATCCAACTGCATGGGGTCGAAGGTGGAAACTTCTTCAGGACTCATTGCAGCACCTTGAATTTCAGCTTTTGATTTCAGTTTCCTATCATTGTGGACCTTCTGATGCCTGTTCATGGTTGATGACTGTGCAAATGTCTTCCCACACACAGAGCAAAGGAATGGCTTCTCGCCCGTGTGTGTTCTCTGATGACTCTGAAGATTTGATGAGTTTCCAAATGTCTTACCACACACAGAGCACGGGAATGGCTTCTCACCAGTGTGTGTTCTCTGGTGACTCTGAAGATGTGACGAGTGTGCAAATGTCTTCCCACACACAGGGCACAGGAATGGCTTCTCGCCCGTGTGCGTTCTCTGATGAGTTTGAAGAGTTGTCGATTGTGAAAATGTCTTCCCACACACAGGGCACAGGAATGGCTTCTCGCCCGTGTGCGTTCTCTGATGAGTTTGAAGAGTTGTCGATTGTGCAAATGTCTTCCCGCACACAGGGCACAGGAATGGCTTCTCGCCCGTGTGTGTTCTCCTGTGTCTCTGAAGATGTGATGGCCGTGAAAATGCCTTCCCACACACAGAGCAATTGAATTGCTTCTTGCCTCCGTGTGCGTGGGGCTGTGGAGAGCGTCTCTGCTCCATGTGAGCGTAGTAACAGCAGCTGTGTTATCGAGTCAAAAGTACGCTATCGGCCGCAAGGATGTTTAGCGTTGAGTTTTGGATTTTGTTAACTGCTTTAACAAGAACGACTCTCGCGTCTAACCGAGACGCAAAAAAAATCCCGTAAATTTGACGACGAACACGTTTAAGATTTTATCCGCGAAAATAGACACTTACTTGGAGATTCACGGTATATCGATGTCTGTAACCCGTCTAAAGATGTCGCCAAGAACTCTCCCGACGCAAAGTCGCCTAACTGTCGACACAGCAATTGTGCTCGCCAGGCTGCGTTGTCTCGCGGTTGAAGGGCGATCAGCAGAGCGACGAGTCGAGCGTCCAACCTCATCAAGTTCCCTCTCGAAATGGCATTGAACTCTGCTTCTGAGCCGCCTTATAACTCCCCCCCTAGGATCCAATCCTTTGTCTTTCAGGATATTTGCATTCGATTTGGTTATTTTGGAAGGTACAATCCGCATGTTTATTAACATACCGAAGGGTAATGTGCCCATTGTGCTTCATGCATGAATATGTAAGTGCATCTCGGTGTGTAATTATGCGCGTTCCCCATGCCCTCCATTTTCCTCGATTTAAAGTGAATGCAGCCCCGTGGCGTTGCCAAAAATCGCCGAGCTTCGTGTGTGAGCACATACAGACGCGTAGTGACCACACTTGCAATACAATCACTCTAACATCAGTAACCAAAATCCGATCTGGTACATGGTCTCCGCTTGGTCTGGTTTGTATCCGTCATAACTCCGGAGACAAACAGCGAGGCATGGTTTAGCCAGCCACCACCTCGTTTGCCAAAACGACTTTAATAGCTGCTCTCAAACAACACTATCACCAATTGTGGTTTACAGGCTAGGCTGTTAAGCGGACAATCAGTCTTTTTGGGCAAGGCGCATGGGATAATACACACCTCTGTTATCCCGAAACACAATACACAGCATCGGTAAGGCTGCCTTGTTGGGGAGATGTAGCTTGGGTAAGGTGCTGTCACTGGAGTTAGGCGATGTGACTGGGTTATCACACGGATTCCGAAAAGCAGCTTCGACGATACGATCCACTGTGCTCCATGTCCCCACATGAACGACGACATTCAGAGTTTAAAAAAGTGGAATATATATTTGTAAATACGTTTTTAAAATAATGTGTATTGTATCTATGTTACAAATTTGTGTTTGTTATACTCATTATTTGTGTATACTGTATATACTTATATGGTTATTCGATTCCATTGATACGACACATTCATCCAACAGTGGAAAGTGTGATTCTAGTACGAGTGGGATTCGAATAATTATAATTCGATTTTAATCCTGCATATACTACCCCCGGTTGTCATATTAACTTACCATACGTACAACCACAGTGTGATTCTAATTAGCTCAGTGCGATTCTAATGATTAGTATGCGATTATAATCCCACACCTCCAATTATGTGGTTCTGCACTATAACAGTTAATCGTATTTTAAAGCGTAACAATGGCTAGGTTGTAGTTCATAGGTTATAATATTATATTTCACTATGTTAGAGTTTAACATGTGAGAGTCTACAATGTCAGAGTTGATCAAGAGCGTCAATCTTGATCGACGCAGAAGCAAATACAGCAGCAGCAGCATCACATTTCGAGGGCGACGCAGCTACTTCTGATTCTGCTGCTTCCGCTGCTCAGATATTTGTTGCCAGGCCCTGCTCTCGCGGGACCCCACACGTCTTTGGAAATGATTGAGATGATGATGTCTGAGCTGATAATTAATTTAATAAAGAGTACTTTGTTTGTGTGTAGGTCTGTGTCATCGGGGATCAGCGAACACTGCTTATGAATGATCTCGCACACCTTTATGACCGACATTGTACTCATTTTCGTTGATCGAGACGAACAAGGCACGTGCCATGTCCAGACGAATTGATATTAACAATATTGTCCTTAAATATAATGCTAACACTGGATTAACGTTAACACTGGATTAAACATGCACATTTTAAACCCAGCCTATAGCATTTATGACTAACGATTCGCATTTGCACATAACATACATTCAAGCACAGTAAAATGCGCATACGAACATATTGTTAATAGAATAATTTTAATGCGATTCTAACCCTGCAAACCCCCACAGTTCGCATATCCGTCCCCCGATTCGATTGAACCTACACTTTACATACATATGAGCGATTAGAATGCTTCTAATGACATTCTCATACCGTAACTCCGTTTATGGTGGAATTTATTATGAAAAAAAATAAAGTCGTCGTTGAATGTTTAGTGTTATTGTTCATAGTGTTATCAGTTTACATGTTATAGAGTACAGGTGATCCCCCGTATACTTCGGGTTTCGGGACCTGAACGTTGCGAAACGATTTATAACGAGGAACTTTCCCTGCCAGAGCGCAAGCCGCTAATTAAAAGAACACGGGGCGGCGGGAACACGTGCTTCCATGGTTGTGTTGCCCAAATGGTTGGAGAAGGTGGTGGGGAAGACGGAGTGGTAGCTCCTGCAATTTCTTATTTACTTGATACAGCTGTCGTGGCTGTGACGGTATCACCTGAAGACGGAAGCTTGTGTTGCCTCCGAAACGTCGTGATTTTTATTTTATTTTACTTTTTAATGTTTTTACCTACGTGACTTTACCGAAAAAACCTAAGAATATGAATCATTGCAGTCACGAAAGCTTCAAATCAAGAATGTAATTCGATTCTAATCCTGCATATCCTATACCCGGTTCGCATATTCACTTACCATACATACGACACCAGTGTGATTCTAATTTGAGCACAGTGCGCTTCTAATTATTCTTATGCGATTATAATCCCACTATAACAGTTAAAATGATTTTACAGCGTTCATAGGTTGTAATATTACGTTTCACTATGTTAGAGCTTAACATGTGAGAGCCTACAACTATCAGATTTGATCAAATGCGACGATCAAAAGCGTCAATAGGGTAAATTTGATCAGAGTCTTTGAACCGGTGGTCAGATATGCGAACTGTGGGGGGTGCAGGGTTAGCATCGCATTACAATTCTTAGAATTACAATATGTTCGTATTCGCATTTACTGTGCTTGAATGTATGTTACGTGCAAATACGAATCGTTAGTCATAAATGCGAGGCAGGGGTTAAAATATGCATGTTTAAACCAGTGTTAACGTTATATTATATTTAAGGACAGTATTGTTGAAAACAATTCGTCTGGACATGTCACGTGACTTGTTCGTCTCGATCAACCAAAATTAGTACAATGTCGGTCATACAGGAGTGTGATTTCATTCATGAGTAGTATTCACAGAGCCCCGATGACACTAACCTACCTAAAGTTATGGTTAAAAAAGTAATCTTGAGTGACTTAATTCTGAGCTCAGACATGATCATCGCAATCATTTCCAAAGACGTGTGGGGTCCTGCGAGAGCAGGTCCCGACTACAAACAGCTGGGCAGCAGAATCGGAAGTAGCTGCGTTGCCCTCGAAATGTGATGTTGCTGCTGTTGTTGCTGCTGTAGTTGCTTCTGTTGCTGTAATAAACGCAGGGAAGTGGTGTTCCGTGATGGGATGACGCCTTTGATTAAAGCCTCTGTTCAAACTCACCCGATTGACGCCCTTGATTGTCGCATTTGATCAACTCTGATATTGTAGACTCTCACATGTTAAGCTCTATCATAGTGAAACATAATATTATAACCTATGAACTACAACCTTTCCATTGTAACGCTGTAAAAGAATATTACCTATTGGGTTTCACTCTCTCGTCGAAAAGGCCGCTCTCTTCCTTTTCCAAAGTTACATGCTAATTTCACTGCATTCACTTTAAATCGAGGACAAAATTTTTCCATTTTTTCAAAATAAGCGCACAATTACACACTGAGATGCACTTACATATTCATGCATGAAGCACAATGGGCACATTACCCTTCGGTATGTTAATAGACATGCGGATTGTGCCTTCCAAAATTAACAATCGAATGCAAATATCCTGAAAGATAAAGGATTGGATCCGAGGGGGGGAGTTATAAGGCGGCTCAGAAGCAGAGCTCAATGCCATTTCGAGAGGGAACTTGATGATTTTGGACGCTCGACTCGTCGCTCTGCTGATCGCCCTTCAACCGCGAGACAACGCAGCCTGGCGAGCACAATTGCTGTGTCGACAGTTAGGCGACTTTGCGTCGGGAGAGTTCGTGGCGACATCTTCAGACGGGTTCCAGACATCGATATACCGTGAATCTCCAAGTAAGTGTCTATTTTCGCGGAACGTGTTCTTCGTCAAATTAGCGGGATTTTTTTGCGTCTCGGTAAGACGCGAGTGTCGTTCTTGTTTTAGCAGTTAACAAAATCTAAAACTCAACGCTAAACATCCTTGCGGCTGATAGCGTACTTTTGACTCGATAACAGCGCTGCTGTTACTACGCTCACATGGAGCAGAGACGCTCTCCACAGCCCCACGCACACGGAGGCAAGAAGCCATTGAATTGCTCTGTGTGTGGGAAGTCCTTTTCATGGCCATCAGATCTTAAGAGACACCAGAGAACGCACACGGGTGAGAAGCCATTCCTGTGCTCTGTGTGTGGGGAGGCATTTGCACGGGCATCAACTCTTCAAACTCATCAGAGAACACACACGGGTGAGAAGCCATTCCTGTGCCCTGTGTGTGGGAAGGCATTTGCACACTCGTCAACTCTTCAAGACCATCAGAGAACACACACGGGAGAGAAGCCATTCCTGTGCCCTGTGTGTGGGAAGACATTTGCAAAGTCATCACATCTTCAGCGTCACCAGAGAACACACACGGGCGAGAACCCATTCCTGTGCTCTGTGTGTGGGAAGGCATTTTCACAGTCGTCAAATCTTAACACGCATCAGAAGGTCCACAATGATAGGAAACTGAAATCAAAAGCTGAAATTCAGGGTGCTGCAATGATTCCTGAAGATAATTCCACCTTCGATCCCATGCAGTTGGATCCCGAGAGATGGCTGGATGTAATGGAGTGGCTCGAGGATCAACCCGAGAGCTAGCGGTGACTGAAATATAATGTTGCATGCGGTTTTACCTATTAAGCTGTCTTGAGTACTTTTGTGTATCATTCTGACCCTTTAGTTTTACAGTTCGTTTGAGAGTTTCTTGACGTGCAGGTGGTGATTTTTTTATGTTGTCGGATTACTTTGTGAAGTGGTGTGATGAGCAGTGGTTGTGAGATGGTTCAATTCCGGACAATATTGTAGTGTTTAAGTCTTCCTGTTGAGCTAAAGTTGGAATGCATCTGGAGTTAGATCTTTACTCAACATTTTAAACGATTTTTTTTTAAATATAAAGCTTTTATTGGTTGGTAATAATCGACTTTAGGATGTACATTGATGACGCGTTCGTTGGATATATGGCCTTGACTTCAACATAGACGCACAGTGAACAAATGTGGTGAACTAATAAGGAACTTTAACGCTTTGGTATTCCTGGAACGGATATGGTTTGCATTGTACTGTAACTGTTTGAACATAGGACATAATACATATTCGGTTGGAGTTTAAACGTAAAAATGATTGCAGATTAATAAAAACGTATTTTAACAAATGTTTGTCAGTTTATTTATTTTACAATGTTCATAGCAAAAACGTGTTTTAAGCGAGTTTCAGGTGGAGGATCTTCGTCACACAAATCTGCCCTTAACCGGCAGCATCTTGGCTGTCTCTCCACTAACATGTGTCCCTGGAGGGGAAAGGTCCCCATTATAAATCTATTCGCAACGTTACTGTCCCTAATCATCAAGTATGACATTTGAACTGTAACACTATCAACGATAACACGGATCGTCGACGGGGCCAAGCAGCGAATGTTTAACTCCAATCCCAAACTACATCTCCCCAACAAGGCAGCCTTCCCTCTGCTGTGTATTTTAGCCGTATATATTGAAGATAACAATTCGTCAAGAAAAGGCAAGATTACAATGTCTTTCATAAAGGAGTATGAGTTCATTTATGAGTAGTATTCGCTAAGCCCAGATGGCACTAGCCTGCACTCAGTTATGTTGAAACAAAGTAAACATTAGTCGCTCAAATCTCAGCTCATTCATGGTCATTGCAATTATTTCCAAATCCGTGTGGGGTCCCACGAGGACAGGGCACGGCCAAAAACTCTCACGTTATAAACTCACACTGTAAGCTCTAACATTATAAACTCTAACAATATAACTGTTATAGCTGTACATTGTAACGCTATAACAATAACACCGCAAACTACTTTTATAGTAAAATCTAATGTTGTAAACTCTAACAATAAAACCTATGAGCTCTGCATAACGTTAAAAATTAACATTATAAGCTAGTGTTATAGATTGGAACACCATACAATGAAGTGTGATATTGGAATCGCATTCGAATTATTAGAATTACTCCGTGGTCCTCTTAGAATCAAATTATGCTCGTTAGTACGTTACATGTCTATATGTAACATGTCTGTATGTAATATGTATGTCTGTTTGTAATATGGACGTGCGAACCAAGGTTGGGACCTGCGAAACGGAAGGTGCAGGATCAGGATGTGATAAAAATTTTAACACGTAGGCTTTCGCGACCAATGTTATTCATAATCAACGTTTTTGGGTTTAGATCGCGATTATTTATAAGTATTACAGTTTATATGTTGCCGGTTAAGGGCACACATGTGTGACGGAGATCCTCCACCTGAAATTCTCTTAACATGTTTTTTCTAGGAACATTATAAAATAAAGGCCAGACAAACATTTGTTAAAAATACGTTTAAATTCATCTGCAATCATTTTTACGTCAAAACTCGAAGGGAATATGTATTATGTCCTATGTTCACATTTCCAGTACAATGCAAATCATTTCCGTTCCAGGAATACCAAAGCGTTAAAGTATCATTCCCCATGATTTCCTTATTAGTTCACCACATTTGTTCACTGTGCGTCTATGTTGAAGTCAAGGCCATATATACAACGAACGCGTCATCAATGTACATCCTGAAATCGGCTATCTAAAGTCGATTAATACCAATCAAAAAAAGCAATATACTTGAAAACTAAAAGTTTTAAATGTTGAGTAAAGATGTACCTACAGAGGCTTTCCAACTTTAGCTCTACAGGAACACCTAACGACTACAATTGAACCCTCTCACAACCAGTGCTCATCACACCACTTCGGCAAGTAATCCCATAACATTACAAACCACCACTGTGCACGTCACGAAACTCTCACAAAAACAATAAAACTAAAATGGTCAAAATTATGCACAAAAGTACTCGATACGGCTTAAAAGGTATAACCACCTGACGTAATATTTTTTCAGTCATCCCGAGCTCTCGGTTTGATCCCCGAGCCACTCCATTACATCCAGCCACCTCTCGGGATCCAACTGCATGGGATCGAATGTGGAAACTTCTTCAGGAACAATTGCAGCACCTTGAATTTCAGCTTTTGATTTCAGTTTCCTATCATTGTGGACCTTCTGATGCATGTTCATGGTTGATGACCGTGCAAATGCCTTCCCACACACAGAGCACAAGAATGGCTTCTCACCCGTGTGTGTTCTCTGGTGACTTTGAAGATGTGATGACTTTGCAAATGTCTTCCTACACACAGAGCACAGGAATGGCTTCTTGCCCGTATGTGTTCTCTGATGGTCTTGACAAGTTGACGAGTGTGCAAATGCCTTTCCACACGCAGGGCACAGGAATGGCTTCTCGCCGGTGTGTGTTCTCTGGTGACTCTGAAGATGTGATGAGTGTGCAAATGTCTTCCCACACACAGAGCACAGAAACGGCTTCTCGCCCGTGTGTGTTCTCTGATGACTCTGAAGATGTGATGAATGTGCAAATGTCTTCCCACACACAGGGCACAGGAACGGCTTCTCGCCCGTGTGCGTTTTCTTATGATCTTGAAGAGTTGATGACCGTGCAAATGTCTTCCCACACACAGGGCACAGGAACGGCTTCTCGCCAGTGTGTGTTCTCTGATGGCGTTGGCAGTTTTCTGAAAGTGAAAATGCTATCCCACATACAGAACACAGGAATTGCTTCTCACCCGTGTGTGTTCTTTGGTGTCTCTTAAGATTTGATTGCCGTGAAAATTCCTTCCCACACACAGAGCAATTGAATGGCTTCTTGCCTCTGTGTACGTGGGGCTGTGGAGAGCGTCTCTGCTCCATGTGCGCGTCGTAACAGCAGCGGTGTTATCGAGTCAAAAGTACGCTATCGGCCGCAAGGATGTTTAACGTTGAGTTTTGGATTTTGTCAACTACTAAAACAAGAACGACAATCGCGTCTAACCGAGACGCAAAAAAATCCCGCTTATTTGACGACGAACACGTTTAAGAGTTTGTCCGCGAAAATAGACACTTACTTGGAGATTCACGGTATATCGATGTCTGGAACCCGTCTGAAGATGTCGCCACGAACTCTCCCGACCCAAAGTCGCCTAACTGTCGACTCAGCAATTGTGCTCGCCAGGCTGCGTTGTCTCGCGGTTGAAGGGCGATCAGCAGAGCGACGAGTCGAGCGTCCAACCTCATCAAGTTCCCTCTAGAAATGGCATTGAGCTCTGCTTCTGAGCCGCCTTATAACTCCCCTCCTAGGATCCAATCCTTTGTCTTTCAGCATATTTGCATTCGAAAGTTAATTTTGGATTGCACAATCCGCATGTCTATTAACATACCGAAGGGTAATGTGCCCATTGTGCTTCATGCATGAATATGTAAGTGCATCTCAGTGTGTAATTGTTGCGCTTATTTTGAATAAATGGAAAAACACGTTCCCCATGCCCTCCATTGTCTTCGATTTAAAGTGAATGCAGCCCCGTGGCGTTGCCAAAAATCGCCGAGCTTCAGGAGTGAGCACGTACAGACGCGTAGTGACCACACTTGCAATACAAGCACTCTAACATCAGTAACCAAAGTCCGATCTGGTACATGGTCTCCGCTTGGTCAGGTTTGTATCCGTCATCACTCAGGAGACAAACAGCGAGGCATGGTTTGGCCAGCCACCACCTCGTTTGCCAAAGCGACTTTAATAGCTGCTCTCAAACAACACTATCACCAATAGTGGTTTATGGGCTAGGCTGTTAAGCGGATAATCAGTCTTTTTGGGCAAGGCGTATGGGAAAATACACACCTCTGTTATCCCATAAACACAATACACAGCATCGGTAAGGCTGCCTTGATGGGGAGATGTAGTTTGGGTAAGGTGCTGTCACTGGAGTTCGGCGATGTGACTGGGGTATCACGCGGATTCCGAAAAGCAGCTTAGACGAAACGACCCACTGCGCTCCATCTCCCCACATGGACAACGACATTCTAAATAAAAAAAAAAATTGAAAACATATTTTTAAATACCTATTTGAAAACACGTTCCTTCGGAGTGGGCAGGTAGGAACTTGGTTGGACAGCGCATTCGTGCGATCCGTGTTGGATACCGTAGTCATGTTGGAGGTTGTAGCTGTTACTATTGCATCTGATGATGATTGTTGATTTATTGCTGTAGGTCTTTAAGTTCATGCTGCTGCTGCAGCAGGTTGCGCCTGTGCTGTGACGCCACCTCCTGCGTGTACCACGCGCGCCAATCCACCTGACCTGGTCTTTGAACGGCCACGATGTTGTCGTAATGGCGCACCAGGTGCATGATGTTGAGCAGGGCATAGACGCCGCAGTCGAGAAAGGTCACCTGCGGGCGTTGCACCGGGGAAACCCGGGGCAGCACGTTGGCCACCTCGACAGGACCGTCTTGCATGAAACAAATGGCGTTCCCCGTTGAGTGGCTGGCCCTTATCAAGATGTCAATATTGAAGGCTCGGGCGGGTAAAATCGCTCCCAGTATAAGATTCAAATACTGTCAATAATAGCTGTATTATAATAAAATACTGTCAATTATCCATTTTCACACTCACGATGTATGTATCATGTCAGAATAATTTATAAATAAGAAATGCCAAATCTATGTTTTTCAAATTAAGAAATGGCAACCTCGTGTCTTACCCACAAATGTAGCAACTACCCAAAACGTTGAGTAGGCACGTAAAATAAATTCATCAACTGAAATTGATTATGCTCCTGACAAATAACAAGTCACGTGAGATTAGATTATTTACAATGCATGTACATTACATGGCAATGTTCATCATCATCATCAGCCATGCTCAATCTACTGCTGGGAGAAAAGGTTCCCCAATATTTTCCCCAATATTGTCACCATTCCTCATGATCCTGCGATCCACCCAGCTCATGCGCATGAGATGATCTCATTGCTTCATCTCTGTGGTGGTTATTTTCTCACACGTGTTTTCTCCATCGGTTGACATTCCATCCCAAGTTCTGTCCACTTGCTATTATCCCTTTTGATTTAAAGCTTTCGTGACTGCAGGGATTCATCTTCTTGGTTCTTTCGGTACGTGACTTTACCGAAAGAACCAAGAAGATTATCCCTTTTAGTCACGATGTGTCTTGGCCAAGCCTAATTTAAACTCTACTTGCATTTTTGCAATGTTGCATTGAGGAGAAAGTAAAGTAACCAAAAAATAACTGTACGAATTAAAATAGAGATGGTCAAAAGGAAATAAAAAATAATGAAATAATGACTGTAAATCTATCACAATTTATTGAAAAACTGGAAAGTGTGCTGGGAGTGGGGGGAGGGAACTCCAGTTGAATCGTAAACATGGCCACAGGCAGCCATTGCCACCATGCACACATGCCCAGTTAGGGATGTTCATTTAATTTTTAAGGGTTTTACGATAACTGCATGCACAAAAGCCTATTAAAAAAAACATTACCAATCTTCACTACACCCACAATGACCGGAGTGAAATATGGTCACAACAAGCTCAATGACTGACATGGCATGGTTAGGCCTTCATCTAGCAGTGGCTTGACCAAATGGTGTACGTTTATTATATTGTTTATATTGTATCTATAATGATCAGAACAATGACATTGCAACATGTGTCTGTAAAAATGCGTGCCATGCGCCAAGCAGTTTGATCAAGCACTCAAAAAGTAGAAGATTATAGATTCCATGACTTAGGAGTCAATACAATATTCCATAAGCAAACGGTACAAATCGATAATAAAAGTGCAGGAGATACAAATACTGAGTACGCTTCGCCAGTACTCTAACTTACAACACGATATTATATGTGCATAGGCAGCTTATTCTGCGTCAAGAGATACGAGAAAAAAGCTTATCAATATCAATATACTCATGGTGTTTTTAGTGATAAAGCATATATCTGTGGAGTCACGTACCGCCTTGAAGACTCTTAATAGAAGACTTAATATTTACGTTGAAGCCTATTCGCCATTGCTTGAAGCAGCATCGGTGGGGGAGGGAGAGAGCACAGAGGTGGTGGGGTGGGAAAGGACTGTCACCAAGATGGCCTCGAGTGGCATGGGAGAGTTAACGCAGCGAATAAGATGCACGACAAACAGACAAATAATCCCTGGTGGGCAGTGTGGAACCTGTTGTTCCTACCTGTATGTAGAAAAAATAACTTGACTTTAGGTAGCCAGGCAGACAGCCCCCTTAACTATCGCCCCCCCTCCCTTAGGCCCCTCCCCTGAACACCCCCCTTCCATTATGCCCCTCCCCTGAACACCCCCCCCCCCCATATCCTTAGGCCCCTCCCCTGACCCCCCCCCTTTAGGCCCCTCCCCTGACCCCCCCCCCCTCAGGCCCCTCTCCTGAACACCCCCCCCCCCCCATATCCTTAGGCCCCTCCCCTGACCCCCCCCCCTTAGGCCCCTCCCCTGACCCCCCCCCTCAGGCCCCTCTCCTGAACACCCCCCCCCCCCCATATCCTTAGGCCCCTCCCCTGACCCTCCTCCCTTAGGCACCTCCCCTCTCCCATACCCGGAAGTAGGTCTCCACCAATCAAAGAGCTGTTTATGTTATATATTTATTTATGCACGACAAACAAACAGACAGTCAGACAAACAGACAGACAATAAATCCCTGGTGGGCAGTGTGGAACATTGTTCCTACCTGTATAATGTGGTGTATATATGTTACCATGTGTGGTTGTTATGATTTTTGTATGTGTATATATATACTGTATATAGCATTTCGATTGTAACGATTCATAAGCTCATTATATTATAATGGGTTTGTGCGTGTATTTATATATAATATGCCGTCTTTTGCTATTCGATGACATTGAGATGAGACCTTCATCTTGCAGTGTAATACGACCGTGTTGTAATTTTTATCATTTTTATCCGATCCTTGCACGGAGACTATATATACATATGAGCAGAGTGTGATTCTAATACGACCACACTGTGATTCTAATGCTTCTAATGAGATTATAATACCTTACCTCCGTTTATATAGTTCTAAATTTAAACACTAGTTCATAGTCTTCTTGGTTCTTTCCGTAAAGTCACGTAGAAGAGACGTAATAAAATAAGTCTCATTAGAAGTATTAAAATCGCACTCTATAGATATGTATGTAAATTATCTGTTCAATCGATCCGGGGGTCGGATATGTGAACTGTGGGGGTACAGGACATGAATCGCATTCAAATTTTAGAATAACAATATGGTCCTATTAGCATTTTACTGTGCTTGAATGTATGTTATGTGCAAATGCAAATCGTTAGTCGTAAATGCGAGGGAGGGGTTAAGAGGTGCACGTTAAATCCAGTGTTAACATTTATTTTAGCATCATATTTAAGGACAATATTGTTGATAAGAATTCGTCTGGACATGGCACGTGCCTTGTTCTACTCGATCAACCAAAATTAGTACAATGTCGGTCATACAGGAGTGTGATTTCATTTATGAGTAGTATTCACAAAGCCCCGATGACACTAACCTACCTAAAGTTATGGTTAAACAAAGTAATCTTGAGTGGCTTAATTATCAGCTCAGACATGATCATCGCAATCATTTCCAAAGACGTGTGGGGTCCTGCGAGAGCAAGTCCCGACTACAAACAGCTGGGCAGCAGAATCTGAAGTAGCTGCGTCGCCCTCGAAATGTGATGTTGCTGCTGCTGGTGTCGCTACTGTTGTTGCTGCTGTAGTTGCTTCTGTTGCTGTGATATACGCAGGGAGGTGGTGTTCCGTGATGGGATGACGCCTTTGATTAAAGCCTCTGATCAAACTCACCCGATTGACGCCCTTGACCGTCGCATTTGATCAACTCTGATATTGTATACTCTCACATGTTAAGCTCTATCATAGTGAAACATGATATTTTAACCTATGAACTACAACCTATCCATTGTAACGCTGTAAAAGAATATTACCCATTGGGTTTCACTCCCTCGTCGAGAAGGCCGCTCTCTTCCTTTTCTAAAGTTACATGCTAATTTCTCTGCATTCACTTTAAATCGAGGACAAAGTTTTTCCATTTATTCAAAATAATCGCACAATTACACACTGAGATGCACTTACATATTCATGCATGAAGCACAATGGGCACATTACCCTTCGGTATGTTAATAGACATGCGGACTGTGCCTTCCAAAATTAACAATCGAATGCAAATATTCTGAAAGACAAAGGATTGGATCCTAGGGGGGGAGTTATAAGGTGGCTCAGAAGCAGAGCTCAATGCCATTTCGAGAGGGAATTTGATGAGGTTGGACGCTCGACTCGTCGCTCTGCTGATCGCCCTTCAACCGCGAGACAACGCAGCCTGGCGAGCACAATTGCTGTGTCGACAGTTAGGCAACTTTGCGTCGGGAAAGTTCGTGGCGACATCTTCAGACGGGTTCCAGACATCGATATACCATGAATCTCCAAGTAAGTGTCTATTTTCGCGGAACGTGTTCTTCGTCAAATTAGCGGGATTTTTTTGCATCTCGGTAAGACGCGAGTGTCGTTCTTGTTTTAGCAGTTAACAAAACTAAAACTCAACGCTAAACATCCTTGCGGCTGATAGCGTACTTTTGACTCGATAACAGCGCTGCTGTTACTACGCTCACATGGAGCAGAGACGCTCTCCACAGCCCCACGCACACGGAGGCAAGAAGCCATTGAATTGCTCTGTGTGTGGGAAGTCCTTTTCATGGCCATCAGATCTTAAGAGACACCAGAGAACGCACACGGGTGAGAAGCCATTCCTGTGCTCTGTGTGTGGGGAGGTATTTGCACGGGCATCAACTCTTTAAACTCATCAGAGAACACACACGGGTGAGAAGCCATTCCTGTGCCCTGTGTGTGGGAAGGCATTTGCACACTCGTCAACTCTTCAAGACCATCAGAGAACACACACGGGCGAGAAGCCATTCCTGTGCCCTGTGTGTGGGAAGACATTTGCAAAGTCATCACATCTTCAGAGTCATCAAAAAACACACACGGGCGAGAAGCCATTCCTGTGCCCTGTGTGTGGGAAGACATTTTCATGGTCATCACATCTTCAGCGTCACCAGAGAACACACACGGGCGAGAACCCATTCCTGTGCTCTGTGTGTGGGAAGACATTTGCACAGTCATCACATCTTCAGAGTCACCAGAAAACACACACGGGCGATAAGCCATTCCTGTGCTCTGTGTGTGGGAAGGCATTTTCACAGTCGTCAAATCTTAACACGCATCAGAAGGTCCACAATGATAGGAAACTGAAATCAAAAGCTGAAATTCAGGGTGCTGCAATGATTCCTGAAGATAATTCCACCTTCGATCCCATGCAGTTGGATCCCGAGAGATGGCTGGATGTAATGGAGTGGCTCGAGGATCAACCCGAGAGCTAGCGGTGACTGAAATATAATGTTGCATGCGGTTTTACCTATTAAGCTGTCTTGAGTACTTTTGTGTATCATTCTGACCCTTTAGTTTTACAGTTCGTTTGAGAGTTTCTTGACGTGCAGGTGGTGATTTTTTTATGTTGTCGGATTACTTTGTGAAGTGGTGTGATGAGCAGTGGTTGTGAGATGGTTCAATTCCGGACAATATTGTAGTGTTTAAGTCTTCCTGTTGAGCTAAAGTTGGAATGCATCTGGAGTCAGATCTTTACTCAACATTTTAAACGTTTTTTTCAAATATAAAGCTTTTATTGGTTGGTAATAATCGACTTTAGGATGTACATTGATGACGCGTTCGTTGGATATATGGCATTGACTTCAACATAGACGCACAGTGAACAAATGTGGTGAACTAATAAGGAACTTTAACGCTTTGGTATTCCTGGAACGGATATGGTTTGCATTGTGCTGTAACTGTTTGAACATAGGACATAATACATATTCGGTTGGAGTTTAAACGTAAAAATGATTGCAGATTAATAAAAACGTATTTTAACAAATGTTTGTCCGTTTATTTATTTTACAATGTTCATAGCAAAAACGTGTTTTAAGCGAGTTTCAGGTGGAGGATCATCGTCACACAAATCTGCCCTTAACCGGCAGCATCTTGGCTGTCTCTCCATTAACATGTGTCCCTGGAGGGGAAAGGTCCCCATTATAAATCTATTCGCAACGTTACTGTCCCTAATCATCAAGTATGACATTTGAACTGTAACACTATCAACGATAACACGGATCGTCGACGGGGCCAAGCAGCGAATGTTTAACTCCAATCCCAAACTACATCTCCCCAACAAGGCAGCCTTCCCTCTGCTGTGTATTTTAGCCGTATATATTGAGGAAAACAATTCGTCAAGAAAAGGCATGATTACAATGTCTTTAATAAAGGAGTATGAGTTCATTTATGAGTAGTATTCGCTAAGCCCAGATGGCACTAGCCTGCACTCAGTTATGTTGAAACAAAGTAAACATTAGTCGCTCAAATCTCAGCTCATTCATGGTCATTGCAATTATTTCCAAATCCGTGTGGGGTCCCACGAGGACAGGGCACGGCCAAAAACTCTCACGTTATAAACTCACACTGTAAGCTCTAACATTATAAACTCTAACAATATAACTGTTATAGCTGTACATTGTAACGCTATAACAATAACACCGCAAACTACTTTTATAGTAAAATCTAATGTTGTAAACTCTAACAATAAAACCTATGAGCTCTGCATAACGTTAAAAATTAACATTATAAGCTAGTGTTATAGATTGGAACACCATACAATGAAGTGTGATATTGGAATCGCATTCGAATTATTAGAATTACTCCGTGGTCCTCTTAGAATCAAATTATGCTCGTTAGTACGTTACATGTCTATATGTAACATGTCTGTATGTAATATGTATGTCTGTTTGTAATATGGACGTGCGAACCAAGGTTGGGACCTGCGAAACGGAAGGTGCAGGATCAGGATGTGATAAAAATTTTAACACGTAGGCTTTCGCGACCAATGTTATTCATAATCAACGTTTTTGGGTTTAGATCGCGTTTATTTATAAATGTGTCGTAACCCTCAACCACCCGACACGGCCAATCAGTAAAAATGTGTCACGTTGACAAAGACAAATAGTTCACTGCTTTAGCCCACCGGTGTGTTGAAGCCACAACATTTACAATTTGTAAAGGGAGGGTTACGACACATTTATAAATAAACGCGATCTAAACCCAAAAACGTTGATTATGGATGAAATTTTTGTCGTACCAGACTTACACTGTGCTCAAATCTACGTTATATGTAAATACGCATCAGAAGACCAAAATGTGGCCTGCGAGGTGCCAGGTTTAGAATCGCATAAAATTATTAGAATCACACCATCATCGTATTAGAATCAAGTTGCCCACTGATTGATGAATGTTCCATCTCAATGGCATCGAATAGCAATACACAAGTATGGAAATATATAAATAATTGAACAAACCCACTTTGAGCTCGTGAGATTATGAATCGTTACAATTGTAATGACTCCAGACTCAGACTGTAGAGGGTTATTTTGTTTAGCCTTTACCACTGCTTAGGACGCCGGAATTACGATACAGCAACGACAACGACGATCCACCAAAACAGCCCCGAACCTCGTAATAGGTTTTTAAACTGGTACAAAAGTTTAAAAGGGTAAAAACCTACTATATTTTGCCACTGGTAAAAGAGATCTCATAGTGAGAGCCCCGAACCTCGTTCCTCCCACTCTCTTATTCTCGGTGTGAATTCCCCCTCACCCTTTGTCCCACCTTCCTTTCTTGACCTCTATCTTATTGCCACCGCTTGTCCCTTAGTAGATGCACTGTCTTTACATCAACAATATGTTTTAGAAGCCACGTGCGTCAGGGCAGCAGATGTAGCAAAATTTCCCAAACCTAACACTCAACTGTACGGGGTAAGCGGTGTGACCACACTCACCCGTCAACAACAAGAAACAACACAATAACCACAACAACAATCCTAACACGCTTCCACGTTGTTCAACTGGACCCTTCAATTGTCCGTGTGTTGGGCTTGGATCCTACGAGCGCAACCTTGCGCATTTTGACCTGGTTCTCGACGCCGGTCCCTCGCCCATGGTGGAATCTTGTGCCTTTCGGGGCGTCAAGGGTTCGCACCACAGCCTTGAAGGGTTAGGCAGGTCCCTGGCTTCTTTTGAGAAACATGACTGGGCTCCTGGCACCGATTCCTCGCACGTGGGGGATCATTGAAGCACCCCGGGCGTCAGGGGCTAGCAAACTGTGAGCGGCACAACACATTTCATTTGGAGTACGGTTTCCGTTGCCGAGAGCCCCACCACGTTGGACACACCAGACTTGGGCTGTACAGGACATGGGGATGAGCTGTCTGGGTGGGGACGGACATATGTCTTGAGGCGGGATGGGTGGACGAACCAACGGCGACGCCCTATCTACATTCGTATACACTTAGGCCGTTTCACCTCGATGACTTCAGCTGTATCATTATAAACGATAACACTCAACATTAAATGACTATAAACTGGTATTCTAATTCATTACACCATGAACGGAGGTACGGTATTCAAATCTAATTAGAAGTATTATAACCACACTGCTCAAATGTATGTAAAGCGAACGTTCCATCGAACCGGGGGTTGGATATGCGAACTGTGGGGGGTGCAGGGCTATAATAGAATACAAATTCCTAGAATAACAATATTGTCGTATTATCATTTTACTGTGTTTGACTGTATGTTACGTATAAAATGCAAATTGTTAGTCGTAAATATGAGGCAGGGGTTAAGAGGTGCAGGTTTAATCCAGTGTTAAGGTTTAGTTTAGCATCATATTTAAAGACAATATTGGTAATAAAAATAATCTGGACATGGCACGTGCCTTGTTCGTCTCGATCAACCAAAATTAGTAGAATGTCGGTCATAAAGGAGTGCGAGTTCTTTCATGAGTAGTATTCGCTTAGCCCCCAGACACTAACCTACACACAGTTATGGTTAAACAAAGCAACGATTAGTCACTTAATTCTCAGCTCAGACATGATCGCAATCATTTCCAAAGACGTGTGGGGTCCCACGAGAGCAGGTCCTGTCTACAAATAGTCGAGCAGCAGAAACCGCAGAATCAGAAGTAGTTGCGTCGCCCTCAAAATGTGTTGCTGCTGCTGTTGTTGCTGCTGTTATTGGTGCTGCTTTAGTTACTTCTGTTACTGTTATGTATTGGGTGGTGGCTCATTTACTCATCACCACCCATAATCATCAACACAAATCATCAGCATCAACACCCATTATCATCTCCAATCATCATTATCACTATCAACCATCGCCACCACCACCACCCAACCATCACAATCCAACAGTTATCATAACCACCACCAATCATCCATCATCATCAACACCCATAATCACAACAACCCATCATCATCACCACCCATAACCATCACCACCCATCATCATAACCTCACCAATCGTTACCACCACCCATGATCACCACTACCACCCATCATAATCACTACACATTATCATCACCAACCATCATTATTACCACCCTTCATAATCACCACCCATCATCATCATCACCACCATCCATTATCAAGATACATCATCATCATCACCACCCATAATAAATTAACAAACACACACAGCTACAAACATAGATATGTAACCTGACACAGACATCGATAACAGACACACACGAATAAACAATCTCATTAACTAAATTATAAAAAGCCCATATTACCACTGCCAGGATAGGTGCACACAAGACAAATCCTTTACACAATAACAATTTACATGGAACTCAAATTCACACTTAGTACAACCACATCACTCACTTAAATATAACTACAGATCAAAAACCTGAATTTAAAAATAAATAAACCAATGGGATGGTGTTTATACACTTGAAATGTAATTAATGAAATGCAAGTTAATAATTCCAATTAAACAAAAAATAACTATGAACAAATATGAAGCCTGAGGCCTAGGTATATGTCAGGCCTGATGGCCAGGCATCGCATCAGTCCTCGCCGCAGTAACGGTGACATCAAAGACAGCACAAAGCGAGGGGGCAAATGTTTAATGTCGAACCGAGGGCTCTGCTGTTTCCGGTGACGCACACCACCCGCACTGCACCACGTGGTGCGCCCGCCAAGCGCGTGGGGGCGGAGCCTCGCTGTAGTGACGTCACCTCTGTTACGTCATAGCCACGCCTCCACCCGCAGTCGAGAGGAATGCGCACGAGTGAGCAGCAGCAGAAGAAGCCTTTGCAGAGCGAATCGTCAAC